AAAATGAAATTGTATCCTTTGGTATATATGCTTGTGACTATGTTCTTCCACTATATGATCTGAGGAAGCGGGTCTGGCCCACAAAAGCTCATCATCTAATAAACCATCTTGTTAGTCTCTAAAGTGCTACATAGTCCTGCTCTATGAAAATGAAGTGTTACATTGTTATGCTTATAAGAAGCACATGGAATCTTTCAAGGGCTGGGGCAATATGCCCCATTGTTAAGAATGCAATTTAAGCATTAAAATCAGAATATTTGTACACAACGATAGACATATGCCAATAGGTGTGTGTACATCTGTTCTGCAGCTGGAAGTTATAGTTACCAGTCCTTAGCATTGCTTGCTTGGCTTCATTGGCCACCTGAAGCTGCACACAAGGAGGAGAACTGGGGCCTCTGTGGAAGACCTTTACATCCTATCCATTTCCCTTTTTTTTCTTAAGGCAATGGCTAACAGCTGTTACTCTGAACTAATAGCAGCAATTTTATCAGTTATGTTTCTCGTAGTGGCATAATGAGCCCAAAATGTATGGCTACTGTTGTTCCAAATGTACCATGATAAATCTAGTGTATCCACTCCTGTCTGTACGGATTCAGCAATTTGATGTTCCTGCCCTTGCATTGTTGTGCTGTATAAAGTTTGTACTGTACTGGCTTTAATTTTTAATGCTTCTAGGTAGGGATGTTAAATGTAGATTAATTGGGTAATCGAATAGTCTATGCAGTTTACATCGACTATTTGATTAGTCAATAAGGCTGCCTCCACCTTTGAAGTGTAGCAACAGCCCCAGGGCTGTGCTACATTTCAAAGGCAAAAGTGCTGCGGGGAGCATGGGGCCAGCAGGTCCCCCACTGGCCCTGTGCTCCTTGTGGTGTTTCAAAGCGTCAGTACCACATAGAGCCCTGGGTCAGTACCCAGCTGACCCCAGGCTCCATGCAGTGCTGCCACTTTGAAATACTGTGGGGAGCCTGGTGTCAGGCTCCATGTGGTGTTTCAAAGCAGCAGCACTGAATGGACCCCAGATTCCATGCAGTGGCACCATCGCTTTGAAATGCCACGTGGAGCCCACAGACTCTCCAACTGGCTACACGTGGCATTTCAAAGCAGCGGCACCACATGGGGCCCAAGCTCCATGCACTGCTGCTGCTTCAAAACTCCTCCTGTTCTTGCTCACCCCTTGCTTCCTCTTTCTGATAGAGGCAGAAAGGGTGGGGGAAGCAACTAGTTGATTAGTGTGGCAACTATCCAATAAGCATTTGTTTATCGGATAGCTAGTCGTTCACATCCCTACTTTCAGGCCCACTGAGTTAAAGACTCCTATCCCAGCTCCTATCTCCCTCAATTTGGTACTGGCCAGAGGTCTCTGTTTACAAAGGGAGAAATATTTTTGTTGCAGGGAGCCATACCTATTATTAAATAAGGGAGTGCAGTATGGTGATGTGATGTGGCCATGTAATAGATCATTTTTTGTCTAGGTAATTGCAATATGTAGAGTAATCATTGGTGCCACATTAGTGGGTGGTTGCCTCTTAAGTAAATGTGGATAGGCTCTTTCATGAGTGAACGGCTGCTTAAAAGTAACACTTATGTTTCCCACAAAAACTATTTTGTTTACCTACCCTGAGATTCTATGCATCTTTAATGGCACAGACATAAAGGGTGGAAAAGTGCATGAACAGGGTTCACAAAACAGATTAAAATCTACGAATGGTCTTAGAGACACAATCATGTGGCCATGAGCCTTGCTGATTGTTAGCCCAGGCTCGCAAATAACTTTTGCGACAGGCCAGTATAGGGTGATGTTAGGCATAGTAGAGGTGTAAAGGGGTAACCCCTTAACCAGTAAGCATTGCCTTACCAGTATGCTTGTCAGGCTAAGCACGCCGTACGTGGGGGTGCTCCAGCCCAGCCAAAGCAGCTCATTGCCCACGGTATGACACAGTGGGCTGGTTAACTAGTTAAATATATAATTTAACTGGTTAATGTTTTAAATGGGATTTTATATCCCTGATATATTTAAACCATTGTATCCCCAGTGTGCATGCACTGTCCCTGAGCCCCAAACGTTTATAAATATTCCCAAGAATAATACCTTTGTACTTAGCAGATTCCTGGCAGGATTCCCCTGATGGGATCAAGTAGTGTTCAAGTAAACATCTATTGGGGTGCAGGAATTTGCATAGTCCTTGGACTCCTACACATCTCTGGTCCATGCCGGTAACAAACAGAAACAGATTAGGGAAAACAGTTTTATCCATGAAACATGAACCCATCTGAGTTTGTAGTCTTTTTTTAATACAGTACACTAGTGGGTTAACACTCAACAATGGGGTAGAGGCCTGTCCATTTGGAGTCCAGAGTGTGATCTTTGTTTCCTCTTATTTTTTTAGATGCATTACTGATCTCCTGTAGCTCACAGTCAGTGGCTTGTATCACCATAGGGAATGCGGAGCCCCCTATTGTTGCCTGTCCTCCCATCCCAGATCCCATGGTAATTCCTGAGGTTGCATCCTCGGGGGATGGGGTGCCATGGAGGGGACAGAATGGGGGGAAGGGATGAGGTGTGGGTGACAGGAATGGACAGGTCCCACTTGGTTTGCCAGGACTCCCTGGGCCAAATTGCACAACTGCACTGTTCGGGGGTGGCTCGTGGGCCGGGAGGTTTGAGACCCCTGCTGTAGGGTGTTCCCCAGAATCTCTAGTGAGGCTTTTGGGATCAGTTATGAACTTCATCTGCTGCTCAAACAGAATCTGATATGGCTGGACATTTGACCTTAGCCTGTCATCGTAGTCGATGACAGCCAGGACCAAGGGCAGCTTTTTCAGGCCATTTCTTACCAGCGTGTTCTACCTCTTTTTGCAATGCATCCTTAATGGTGAAGCAAAATGCAGGACAATGTAGCACTTTAAAGACTAACAAGATGGTTTATTAGATGATGAGCTTTCGTGGGCCAGACCCACTTCCTCAGATCAAATAGTGGAAGAAAATAGTCACAACCATATATACCAAAGGATACAATTAAAAAAAAGAACAAATATGAAAAGGACAAATCACATTGCAGAACAGAAGGGAGATGCGGGGTGGGGGAGGGGGAGGAAGGAAGGTAAGTGTCTGTGAATTGATGATATTAGAGGTAGGGAGAGTGGGATGTTTGTGAGTTAATGGTATTAGAGGTGATAATTGGGGAAACTATCTTGGTAATGGGTGAGATAACAAACATTTGAACTAAGTCCTTGTTGGAAAGTGTCGAATTTTAACATGAATGACAGTTCAGAGGATTCCCTTTCAAGTGCAGATGTAAAAGGTCTTTGTAGCAGAATGCAGGTGGTCAAGTCATTGAGAGAGTGTCCTTTCTGGTTAAAATGGCAAGAAACTGTTTTCTCTTTGTGATCTTGTCTGATATCTGTTTTGTGGGCATTAATCCTTTGGCGAAGTGTCTGAGATGTTTGTCCAATGTACATAGCAGACGGACACTTTCGGCACATGATAGCGTAGATTATATTTCTGGATGCGCAGGAATATGTGTTCTTGATCTTATAACTCACTTGGTTAGGTCCAATAATGGTATCAGCAGAATGAATATGTGGACAAAGCTGGCAACGGGGTTTGTTGCAAGGGAAGGTACCAGGGTTGGTATTAGTGTGGTATGTCCTGTGGTGGTTGGTAAGAATCATCTTGAGGTTAGGTGGTTGTCTATAGGAGACTATGGGTCTGTCTCCCAGAGCCTCTTTGAGTATGGTATCCTGTTCCAATATAGGCTGTAGTTTATTGATAATGTGTTGGACAGGTTTAAGTTGGGGGTTGTAGGTGATGACAAGTGGTGTTCTATTGTTGGTTTTCTTGGGTCTGTCTTGAAGTAGATGGTTTCTAGGTATTCGTCTGGCTCTTTCAATTTGCTTTTTTGTTTCTCTGGGTGGGTAGTTGAGATTTATAAATGCTTGGTAGAGATCCTGAAGCTTCTGGTCTCTGTCAGTGGGGTTAGAGCAGATGCGGTTGTATCGAAGGGCTTGGCTATAGACGATGGATCGTGTGGTGTGTTCTGGATGGGAGCTGGATGCATGTAGGTAACTGTATGAGTCAGTGGGTTTTCTGTAGAGAGTGGTGTCTAATTTTCCATTGTTGATTTGTACGGTGGTGTCCAGGAAGTGGATCTCTCGTGTAGAATGGTCCAGGCTGAGGTTGATGGTGGGGTGTAGGTTGTTGAAATCTCTGTGGAATATCTCCAGTGTTTCTTGGCCATGTGTCCAGATCATAAAGATGTCATCGATGTACCGTAGGTAGAGGAGGGGTGAAAGGGGACGGGAGTTGAGGAAACGTTGTTCTAGGTCAGCCATAAAGATGTTAGCATACTGTGGGGCCATGCGTGTACCCATGGCTGTGCCGCTGATCTGGAGGTATAAGTTGTTCTCAAACCGGAAATAATTGTGGGTGAGAACAAAGTTACATAGGTCTGCTATCAGGTTGGCAGTAGTGTCCTCTGGGATAGTGTTTCTAATTGCTTGTAATCCATGTAGCACTTTAAAGACTAACAAGATGGTTTATTAGATGATGAGCTTTCGTGGGCCAGACCCACTTCCTCAGATCAAATAGTGGAAGAAAATAGTCACAACCATATATACCAAAGGATACAATTTTAAAAAATGAACACATATGAAAAGGACAAATCACATTTCAGAACGGGGGAGGGGGGGGAGGAAGGAAGGTAAGTGTCTGTGAATTGATGATATTAGAGGTGGGGAGAGTGGGATGTTTGTGAGTTAATGGTATTAGCGGTGATAATTGGGGAAGCTATCTTGGTAATGGGTAAGATAGCTTGAGTGTTTGTTCATTCCTTTTTGGAGAGTGTCGAATTTTAACATGAATGACAGTTCAGAGGATTCCCTTTCAAGTGCAGATGTAAAAGGTCTTTGTAGCAGAATGCAGGTGGTTAAGTCATTGAGAGAGTGTCCTTTCTGGTTAAAATGGCAAGAAACTGTTTTTTCTTTGTGATCTTGTCTGATATCTGTTTTGTGGGCATTAGGGTGTCATTCATTCACCTTAATGATGACACGTGGGTCTGGCCCACAAAAGCTCATCACCTAATAAACCATCTTGTTAGTCTTTAAAGTGCTACATAGTTCTGTCTTTTGTTTCAACAATGACTGTCAGGTATTGAAATCCTGTTTTTACTCCTTGGTAGTAAATCAGTTTAAATTCTGTAATTCTAACTCCAGAGTGATATCTGGGCACTCATGTTTATTTCTTTTTTTCAGTGAAAGCATGTGTCAACATATCTGGTTTGGACAGCTTCAGTTGTGACTCTGTTAACTAGAATGAGAGGCCACTGAGCCATGCAGGTATTAGAAATCATAGCTCTCGTCAGTTTATTTGAGAGAATATATTTAGGGGAAGTGTGGGTACTTTAGATGGTGATGGAAGCTGTGCCAGTGAGTGGCTCAAAGGACTGTTCTGCCCAGACAGCTACTAGGAATTCATGTTCATAAAGATCAACATTTTATTGTGCACCCTGTAATTTTCTTTCTTCATAAGCTACTTTTACCACTTTGCCTTCATTATTTTGCAGTAGAGTAGCTACTAGTGCTTGAGTTTCCTTCTGTCTGATAACAGTTCAGACAAAATTGCTGATGGCTTTGAGTTTTAACAGTTCACCTTATTAAAAGGTTAAAATGTTTAGTATTTTTTTTAAAGTCACAAAAACTTGTAGCTGGCCACCAACTGCTGATTATAAAAAAAAAAAAAAAAAAAAAAAAAAAAAAAAAAAGGGAGGGGGGGGGGGGGAGGAAGAAGGGTGAGAGACAGAGCATCATTAAGTATCTGGAGAATGGGTACTTAAACCTAAGTAGATCAAAGTAAATAGATGCTAAGACAGGAAGGATACCACTCACAGAGCTGTTAGCACCTTCAGTAGTTATGAGGTAGCAGCAAGCTAGATACCAAATGGCTTTTGAGGCTGCTTTTTGCTTTAATGCAGTGTTTCTCAACCAGTGGTATGAGTACCCTTAGGGGTACTTGAGAGAGGTCTGGGGGAGGGGGGTACATCTGCACCAGTATTTCCCAATTTTATTTGGCCACAGAACTCTTTTAAACTTGAAAGAATTTTGCAGAACCCCTAGTAACAGTCTAATATATGGAGCTGAAAAAGTAGACCACAAATAAGTAAGGATAATAAAAAACAAATGCTAAACAAGATCATGAGATCAACATTTAGTTTAATTACACATTTAAAAACAAAAATCACATAATATTAATTATTTTTTTTAATCATGAAATGTTATTGTAATGGAATTTTCTCGTGGAACCCTTATTTTCACTTCGTGGAACCCCAGGGTTCTGCAGAATGCCATTTGAGAAACACTGGTCTCTGCAACTGAAATTTGGAGAACTGAATTTTTGTTTTAAGTTTTACAGTGCTTTATTGATTTTGTACTGTTTACACCAAAAAATTTCATCGCCCTTCCGGCTACGATTAAGTTGTTTACACAAATGTGTTGCAATGGTAGAAAAAAATTGTGTCTGAAACCCGTAGGCACTGGAGGTACTTACACATTTTTTTTTTGAAAAGGCAGTACTTTATAAAAAAAAGATTGAGAAACACTGCTTTAATGTACTTAGGGTTGAATCCTTTTTGAGTCCCCATTCCCATTGAGTCTTTTTCTTTAACGGTTTCCGTAAAAGAAAGTGAATTCAGCATACTTGTAAATATGTTGTTATAGAAAATTAAACCTCCTAGCAATACTCAAAGTGTGTATATAAAGGGGGGCTGGCTTTTCTAGCAGCGCTTTTATTTTTCAGTGGTCTATTTGCTGTCCCCCTCTTCCAATTGCTATACCCAGGGATGCTTAGGCTATGTCTCTACTGGAAAGGTTTGGAGACAAAAGTGCTGCTGACATACAAAAGCTAGGGGCGGGGGGCAGGGAGGAAGGACGGACTGGTCAAACCAGTTTTTCTGCCTCCCATTGTTGATCTTTCAAAGCCGAGTTGCTAGCAACCTTTTGATTAAGGATGTCATTGTGGATCAGAAGCAGCAAGGGGTGAGAGGGAGCAAGAGCTGGTGCCTGTGTGGAGTTTGCTTTAAGCAGGTTCTCCACAAGTACCATATCTGCCTCCCATCCCCCTCACTGATAGAGAGGGAGCAGCACAGAAGGTGAGGGGGGCAGGCTGCATCTGATACATGCAGGAAGACGGGAAGGAGCCTTGTCAGCTCCACAGACCCACCTGCCCCCCCCTTGCTGCCTCCTGCATCAGAGGCAGCAGTGTGGGGGAGGCTGCTGCGAAACAGCCTTTATCTGCGATGGTCTAAGCTCACCGCTGATGGAGGATGGTCCACGGCAGCAGCCCATGTCTGCAG